TTAAGAGGATCGGGTGCAATTCTAAAGAGTGAAGCATGAGCCTACCAACTGGAAATCACAGGCTCATATAATGTGTGAATAGTGATAAACTCCATGCATTAAATCCCCCACCCCAGATAAATTATGCAGATTATAATATATACCCAAGGCTATAAATCTCATCAATGTCTTCTTTGTAGTCTGGGAACACTAATACAGACAGGGAACACTTTCATCCATAATGATTTGTCCATTCATTCTAATCCAGCAAGAAGATTTCTTCATGTGTGCAAATATGTGCTTTTTATGAGAGTGACTACTCCCACTTAGGCAAATGATACTTATACAAGCATGTACTGGATCTAAAATTCTAAGGTGGTGTACAATAGTAATATGAAACAAAATACAAATGCAGTAGGCAGAACAATAGCTACAACTGAGTATCAACAGCAGAAAATACCTGGGCAAATAAATATATCATCAAATGTTCTCCCAGTCTTAGCATTTCTAGAATAAGATGAAAGAAAAGATGTGAGGAACTGCAAGGGTAAAGGAGGCAAAACTACTAGGCAAATCAGATTGCTTCTTTTCTTTACTTTTACTTTAATCCAAAACTCCTGCTTAGGTGTGCATGATCTGCCATCTTGCATTTTTGTGCCAAGCCCTCCGCTTCCCCTCCCTTTAGGTCTGGCCAGATTTAAACTCTCTCTAAATCCTCTGCACACTCAGTTGGAGCAAAATGAAAGAATAGGTTGCCTTTGCATGTAGAGTGATTGTTCTTCTTGTAATGTGGTAAAGGGATTTAGAAAGAAAAAAAAAGAATAGCAGCGAACAAAACACTAAAAACAGTGTCTAGCTTGATGAGTTATGAGAGCTTACGTAGATTCAAATAGGGAAATCCCTGCTCAACCCTGAAGCTTACTGGGTGGCCTTGGGCAGTTGCTAGATTTTTGTTTAACCTACCTTAAAGGCAGTGGTGAGGATAAAATGGAATAATTGCCATGTACAGCACCTGACCCGTTTGGATGAAGGTTGGGATACAAAGATGATGGTAACAGTAGCAAGCAGGACCTGAGGGCAACAGTACTCTTCCTACTTCAGATTCCAATCAACCAGTGCTCAGAGACTACTATCTCCAGCAGTGGAGGCTGAACATGGCCATTGTGATTAGCAGCCATTGATAGTTCCTCCACCTGCACCCACAACATTGGTTTGTGGGGTGGGGTCAGGAGAACGCCCAGCACAGCACAAAAGGGGGTTGTTCTGTCTGGCAAGCTGAAAAGCTTGCACTGGTGGAACAATTGACACAGAGCTGTGTTGAATTTCTCCCCAATTATAAAATGAAAATAATAAAATGTATACAATAAAACACGAGCAACAATAAAATAGAAAACACCAGATGGCAGAACAACATAAAAACCAATCACTGGAGACAAAACTAGAAGTAAGTAAAAGGGCTTTGCTTAGTACAGGAATAAAATAAAAGAAGACACCAGCTAAGCCACTCAGGGGAGAATATTTGACAACTGAGGTGCCACCATAAAGGCCCTTTCTTGTACACAGATGGTACAGCTTCTACTACATAAGGATTGGCACTCAGAATACTGGTACCTGGTTGTTTTTTAGCTGCAATGGGTGCTAGCACAAAATGGTGGCCATGGGCAACAACAAACAAACAAACAAACAAACAAACAAACAAAAAGGTACCAGACTCCATGCCAGAGAGTACTATCACAGTAAGTCCTACTTTTATAATGTTAGGTATTTGCAGGGGAGCAGGCTGTATGCCGAGACCTTTCTAAACCCTGGATCCAGCAAGGGATCCAGCAAGGATTCAAATTCATGGAGTAGCCAGGCTAATTTCCTGTCAAGGTGATAGCCTAGGTGAAACTACAGTGGTACCTTGGTTCTCGAACGGCTTAGTTGTCAGACAAATCGGCTCCCAAACGCTGCAAACCCAAAAGTAAGTATTCTGGTTTGTGAATGTTTTTCGGAACCCAAACATCTGACGTGGCTTCTGCTTGAGTAGAGGAAGCCCCTGCAGCCAATCGGAAGCTGCACCTTGGTTTTCGAACAGTTTCAGGAGTTGAACAGACTCTCGGAACAGATTAAGTTCAAGAACCAAGGTACTACTGTATCTGTCTTTTAGAAGATTTCCATAGACAGCCCTATGTCAGTAAATTTTTAATGTCTGATGTGTTTCCAAGCCAAACCATGACTGCTTGAAGTGGTATGATACTGCTTGAAAGTATAGTGCAGATGGGGACTTACTTCCAAGTAAACATGCATAGGATTACATGGTTAAATTCTTCTGCTCTGTATTTTGGCCAGATTCAACCCCCCTCCCCCCAAAAGAACACTGGTCAGATGGCAGCCATAGAGAATGCAAAAATAAGGCAAAACCAGCAGTGACAACTGAAGTGTGTATGAATGTGGTAAGAGGAATAAAAAAATGTAGGAACAGCAAAAAGACAGCAAGGGTTCTATATAGTTGCTGGCACTGCATAACCTTTCAAAAAGCAAATGATTCCTGCTGTGGGTAAATAATGGAGCATGAAGAAGCCAGGTGGAGCTATGGGGGAAGAAACAACATCAACAGAAGTCTGCCAGTGACTGTGGAACATTCAAGCCCCAGTTGGGAAATCCACAGACAACAACCGGGGAGACCACAGACTGCTGCAATACATGCCATTAAAAGTGTGTTGGAATTCTAGAGTCGCTCGGGCCAGTCAGAAACTGCTCAGGAGATGAATGGCTAATTCTGATGAAAAACAAACAATGGAAATAACTGTGAATCAAAAAGACAGCAGCAGACACTACCAAGACACTTCCTTTAACAATTAAGCAGGGGACGTGGGTGGTGCTGTGGTCTAAATCACTGATCCTAGGGTTTGCTGATCAGAAGGTCGGTGGTTCAAATCCCCATTATGGGGTGAGCTCCCGTTGGGGTGAGCTCCTGTTGTTCGGTCCCTGCTCTTGCCAACCTAGCAGTTTGAAAGCACGTCAAAGTGCAAGTAGATAAATAGCTACCGCTCCGGCCAGAAGGGAAACGGCGTTTCCGTGCGCTGCTCTGGTTCACCAGAAGTGGTTTAGTCATGCTGGCCACATGACCCGGAAGCTGTACACCGGTTCCCTCGGCCAATAAAGCGAGATGAGCGCCACAACCCCAGAGTCGGTCACGACTGGACCTAATGGTCAGGGGTCCCTTTACCTATTTTCCTCAGAGAAGTCACAGCTGATTTTAGCACAGCTTTATGTGGAAAGGGATATTTGAAATACATAAGCCAGCGTTAGTTATCCTTTACTCATGCCCGAAAGTATACCTTGGTGTGACATATAACAGAATGTTCACATTTAATTCCAATTTTGTATAAAAAAGACATTTTGACAAGGCACGCATAGCTGTGGTGAATCAGGATTGTGCTATATTGCAATATTGATCTCAAAATGTAAAACAATGATCTGGTTTTTTATAGGGGTTGTACATTATGATTTGAAAGCCTATTTGGCCAACTTAGAGGATGAAATAAAAATGTATCTGGAAATATTTGCTCAGCTATTTTCATTAAAAAATAAACCTATTAACTTCAGTTTACGTTTTTAGACCATTATCCCATATTGAGCTATTATTTTTATCTAGCACATTACTGTACTCTTGTAACCTGCTGGTCCTTAATGAGTGTTATATTTATTGTGTGTATATCTAGCAAAGTCCCTTTTTTTAAACACAGAAATGGAGGAAAGCTCTGCGGTTGTTTTGAAAAGAGCCACCAAGATGAACAAGCTTTGGACTGACAGGGCTCCTTAAGATTTTGCAAAGGCTTGGTGGTACAACATCAAAGAGATATTGGTGTGGTAATAAATTCTACTCTATGGCCCTCAGGTGTGGTGCATTGTGAGATACATGATGTGGTTGCTTGTTTCCTGACTATTGAGAGCAGTGGGCTAGTGGCAAATTCTGATCCACAGGCCCCAAGGCTGTGAACACACTATAACTTTAGATCACATTGAAGCCCTTTAAATCACATTCTTTCCCTCAAAGAATTCTGGGTGCTGTAGTTTTTGCCTCACAGAGTTACAATTCCCAACAACCCTTAACAAACCTAAGTGCCCAAAATTATAGGAGGGGGAGAATTTGCTTCAACTGTGATTTAATGGTATAGTATTGTAAACAGCCTATCAGGTCTGGCCCGCCCATGAGGCAAGGTGAGGCAACCACCGCAAGTGGCAGTGCCTGCCCTGCTGCCTCAAGAGAAGGGGTATTGGCAGCAGTGCTGGTCTCCGGTGAGATCTTGCCAGAAGGCAGCACCACTGCCAGTGTTCTGTAGGCACTGCTGTACAGCGCAGGTAAGGCAATTTTCAGCGAATGCAAGGGGATATGTGCCAGTTGGCATTTCTTAGTGCAGAAAGTATTGATCTGTACACTTGTTGATTTGCACAGATCAACTACAGTGCACACAGGGACAACTGTACACTTAGATCAGGGGTCTGCAATGTGGCTCTTTTACACCTTTGCCGCGGCTCCGGGGCGGATACTAGCGAGGGGAGGAGGCACATTGTGCGCCCCGACACTCGCCACTGTGGCGGGCGCTGTACTGGCTGTGACGTCGCATGGGGCAGTGCGTGCGTCGGATGGGGGCGTCGCATGGGGGCGGTGCGTGTCCCGACATCACCTTCCCGCCCGCCCGCTACATTGTAAGGGGCATGTACGCTGGTCACTGTTTTGAAGGGGAGTGAAGAACACACACAAAAAAATGGTAACTTGCTAATTTAACGTTTATTTCTATGAGGAGGAGTAATTCTGAGGGGTCAAACAAAGAAATAATAAAAAAAAGTGACAATAAAGTTATTTTTATAATGACGAGTTTTGCTGCTCCCAGGTTTTTTTTCTTCAGAAACGGGTCCAAGTGGCTCTTTTTGTCTTAAAGGTTGCAGACCCCTGACTTAGATCATAGAATCATAGAATTGGAAGGGACCATGAGGATTATCCAGGCCAACCTGCTGTAATGCAGGAATCTTTTTGCCCAAAATGGGGCACGAACCGATGACCCTGAGATTCAGAGTCTCATGCTCTACCGACTGAGCTATCCCTTGAACGTTACATGGAAATAAAAGTATGAGTGTATAGCTCTGCTATTGTACACACAAATCGTGCATTCATTTTACATGATGCATGAACACTCCTTGTGTGAAACATTGCACCCGTGTTGATTTGCAAAGATGAGCTGCTGTGCACACAGGTACAATTGTTTATTTGTTGACCATTACATGGGAATAACTGTATGAGCATACATCTCAGCTATTGTGCAAAAAAGGTACACAGATTGTGCACTTATGTTACATAATGTGTGAATACTCCTTGAATGAGCAAGCAATGAGAGGAAACATAATCCCTGCAGAATTTACCCTCTTTCTTTATTTTTGATGGGGGGAAGCATGCAGATTGAGTCCACAAGTAGAGGCAAGGAAATGGGCAGTGGCAACAGCAACAAGAGCTACACCCAGAAAAGTGGCATGCTGACAGCAACTTGCCAAAGCCCCCCCCCCCCCCCTCAAAAAAAGAACAAAACTGGAATTGGCACTTGCTATGAATGTCCTTTGCAAGGGTGATATGCCAAGAGAACAAAACGGGAGTGATGCGTGGGAGCAAAGACATACATGGAGAAGAGGCAGGGATACAAAAAGACCAGGGTAGATTTGAGGGCAGTGATGCCTTCAGGACAGGACTTAGGGGCAGGTATTTGGGGCCTCATTCAGAAGGATGCACAGGAGAGCCTACAAACACAGCAGGGAGGGATCACCACCTTGTGCAGTAAATAAAGCAACATTGTATTATGTATTTATTATATTTATATATCACACTTTCTCCTGGAAGGAGCTCATGGATGTAACTGTGTTCACGGAAAACCCCTGATGGAGAAAGGTGGGGAGGCTGTTTTCATTGGGTGGCGTTCAGCACTAGTCCTACTCAGAGTAGGACCATTGAAATGAATGCACCTAAGTTAGTCATGTCCATTAACTTCAATAGGTCTGCTCTGAGTAGGACTAGCATTAACCGCCCCTGACACCTCCCAAAAATCTGTCCTTGGTCATTTGGGGAGACAAACCTTCAGAACAGTGTGGGAGGTTTTGTCAGAGCTGCAGGGGAATGACTAAAACAGCCCCCTCCTCTTTCCTCCATTCAGAACCTCAGTCGGGTTCCATACCTTTAAAGCTGTGGTAGCCAAGGTGGTCCCCTCCATGTGCTGTTGGACAACGGCTCCCATCATCTCTGATCGTTGCCTCTGATGGCTGATGGGGAATTGGAGTTGAACAACAACTTGAGGGCCCCAAGATAGCAACTCTTGCTTTAAAAGGAAAATAAATTAAGCAGAGGTAAAGGCTGGACCAAGCTCCTCTATCTGCCACTGCATCAAAAATATTGTAAATGTAATGAGACCTCACCGCAGCTTAATATAGTTTATTGATGCAATCCAAACCTATTGCCCTCAAGAGTTCTGGAACAGCAGTAGTATTCCACCAAAAAACATTTACAGTTCCAATTAAACTTATAGGGCATTGTGAGATTGTTGTTTTTTTACTCCTTTATGCAGAAAATTGTTTTCCAAAGGCCACCTCAGTCTTTATTTTTCCTTCTTCAACAAAAATGATATATGCATTCCTTTCCAGGGTTACTGATAAGAGACCTTTGGAGGAGGATCAGGAGAGGATATTGAAAGGCATATGCTTGAGACCCAAACACTTTTATTAAATGTTCGCCCTGATTACCATACAATATACTTTCTGAATTGAATGCTGAATTGTACATCCAAAACTCATTTTATACTAAGCAGCTACTTTGAAAGGGGGGGGAAAGGCAGTGGAGAAATGGAAACTATAAGACACGTTATCTGTGCTTCAAATAATAGAGTGATGTCTATCTACAAAAATGCTAAATCAAGTTTCAGTTCTTGCTATTGCTGGTCATTAACTATAAAACTTTAAAAACTTGTAACCAACTGCTGGAAATCATTTATCCTGCTCTCCTGCACTACTATTAATACCAGGATAATCTATCTCTGTTAGAAAAAGTTTAATCTTCCAAAATTCTTTTTGAAAAGGAAATGAAGGACTCTTTTTTAAAAAAAAAAAAGTTCTGATGCTATTTCAAGATTTACAGTCTTATATGGGAAGTAAAATGATAGGAAATTTATTGCATTCTTTAGTCATTTGTATTGTATTTGAGAAGGCAGAGAAAAAAATCATGGTTGCATTTTTGTTGTCATCTAGGAAGAGTTGCCAACTTGTTGCTGTACTTCTGCAGCTTGGTACATTTTGTCCAAGGTGAGATTGCAGTCTTGTGCAGTAAGGCTGCTCAAATTCAGCGATCTCAGTGGGGCTGGATGCCATTTCTTTTCAGGCAGACACAGTTGAATCTCCTTCCTTCAAAGCTAATAATAATAATAATAATAATACGTTTATTAGTTATACCTCACCTCACCCATCTAGCTGGGTTGCCCCAGCCACTCTGGGTGGCTTCCAACACATATAAAAACAGAATAAAATGTTAAACATTTAAAAAACTTTCTGATTCAGGGCTGCCTCCAGATGTCTTCCAAAACTTGTGTATTTCTTTATCTCCTTGACATCTGATAGGAGGATGTTCCACAGGGAGGGTGCCACTGCTGAGAAGGCCCTTTGCCTGGTTCCCTGTAATGTCGCTTCTCGCAGTGTGGGAGCCGCCAGAAGGCCCTTGGCGCTGGACCTCAGTGTCTGGGCTGAATGATGGGGGTGGAGATGCACCTTCAGGTATATAGGGCCAAAGCCATTGAGGGCTTTAAAGGTCAGCACCAACACTTTTAATTGTGTTCATAAAACATACTGGACAGGTAAGCCATTTATGTGGGGTTGTGGGGGCTGAACCCCACCCGCCCAATTTCACTGAGGGGGCTGGGCCCCCCTCAATATTCTGCAGCCAGGCAGGCCCTACTGGGCCCTTCCAGAGCTGCAACTCTGTGCTGTCTGAATGGGGCCTTTCAGACAGCACAACAGGCCCCATTACGCACCGTCTCTCTCTCACACACACACTGGGCAGCAGTTGTATTAGGGAGTGTGTGGAGGTTATTGGTTGTGTTGGGGAGTGTGAGTGGGATTGTTGGGCTATTCTTGTTTTTTGTTTTTATTATGCATTTTGTGTTTTTATATTGTGTTTTTATGTTCTGAACCACCCTGAGGCCTGCGGGTATGGGGCGGTATACAAATGTAATAAATGGCATTGAGTCAAAGCACTGCCCATGACAGCAAACATTAGCTGCAGGCAAACTTTCCTCACAATAACCAGGTTGACCATAGCTCAAGCAGACACATAGTTCACCTTTTAATCTGCTATAGTCCCACAACATCAAAATTCTGGAATACTAGGTTATTATTATTATTATTAATGCTTATGAAAGGGCTATCCACATGTGCATGCTCATAACTCCAAAATTTACTGGCTGGAGGGACATGAGGGTATGTAAAGAGTGTGACTTCAGCAATGGACATAACCTGCCATGAATGTGGAACAGACAACCCTGCACTCACTTCCTAATAACAGCAACATGTGACTAAAGGTGCAGGTAATCTGCTCCAAATTCAATCCTAAACACATCAGGTCAAATAGCCACTATGCTACTAGAAATGGTCGGTGTGAGAAGGCCCTGACTCCATCATTTCAGGCACAATGACTTTCCCAGCCCATGTTGGAGATGTTGGGCCTTGAAACTGGGACCTTCTGCAGCTGCAGCAGGTGCTCCCCCACATAGTCATAGCCTTGTGCCAAACCCACAGAAAAGTTTTCATTTAAAAAACAAACAGCAAACAGTAAAACCTAAGAAGTGGAGGAGGTGGAAGAAACTTTGTTAATTAGCACCATTTACGCAGCATGAGCTCCAGCAGACCAGAAAAGCCCTCAGCACATGGATGTACTGTAGTGTTAGCAGGTTGCTGCCCACATTGGTTAACACTTAGCAAATAACCATCATCATTTATAATAGCTGCAGAACAAAACGGGGGGAAATAAGGAGAAGCAGAAGGAGTCAAAGAGTATACTCAGCACATATACGGCACACTGCATATACCAATTTCCCATTACAGCTGCCTCAGGGATACTAAGCTAAGCATGGACAGCTGGTCCTCACCATCTGTGGCTGGTAACTGTACCCAGCGCCCAGGACAGGCAGCGTAGGTGAGGCAGGGAATAATATAGCTTCTATCAGCATAAAGTAGCTAACACGTCATCAGGACAGAGCAGTAAAAGGTCTGCCTTCCCCAACACGGCTTTTGGAATCAGAAAGCAACTCGATAGCAATTTGCATCCTGATACAGTTGCCTGGTTACCAGCCATGGGATGCTGGCAATGGTTAGTAATGGGAACACGCTGTCCATTAAGAAGCCAGATGGGAATGTATAGCATGGCGTCACTCCTTGTTAACTTGGGAGCCACTTTGGCACAGGATGGGAGGGCTCATCAAGGAAAAAGATAATGGAATAAACCCTCTCATCCATCAAGCCCTTCATTTCTTCTGCCAACTCTAGACTAGACTCTAAGACACTCAGTTTTGGATTTGTTTTCACTGGAGCCACAAACCTTAAGCTTCCATTCTTCTTTTCCACATTATATGCATTTGGAAAGGTCTGTCTTGTCAAAGGTGCAGAAGAAAATTCCGCTTGACCCTGATTTGGACCCATAAATACCACAGGCACAACCTTATGCGAATGTCTGGCGCTCAAGTCTTCTGATGAGATGGATGACACTTGCTCCAGAGCTCTTGGCTGGAAGGCTTGGGCAGGAGTAGTCCTAGCGACTTGGGTGGAATCTACTCACATATTAAAAAATGCTGTGAAAATCCTTTTCCTAAAAAACGTTTTGAAAAATACATTGAATTTGGCATAGCTCACTGTCGCCATCTAGTGTCACTTTTGTACATTGCACTTTACAACACCTTTAAAACATTTTATTTGCAGCTCAGTGCTTGTAAGCACTATGGAAGGTTTTGAGGTGAACCATAATTACGAAGCTAGCTATGACATTTGCTGATCCCTGCACTCAGCTCTAGGTTATGATTACAAATTCTCAA